CTGAGCTCTGGTAGTAAGTTTTCAGTGTTTCACTACATACGTTTTTCATATTAAAAGACAACATTCTAGGAAAAACAGCATTTTTCCTAAATGATTGATCCACGCATCTGTTCCTTTTTACATCTCAAGGCTTATATACATGAACATAGTAAAATCTGCAGTTTCATTGGCTCGCTCTCTCTTGTGAAAAAGGTTCCCTCCTTTTCTTTCCAAGTAGACTTTATGGCCCACAGTTTATTTGGCATCTGTGTCCTTTACTGGTAGGTTTGAATCAAGTCTGCGGGGACTTCTGGAAAGTTAGGCAATTCCTAGTCTGTGAGATCTTTACTTTTAGAAATGTATATCTAGAAAGTTACTGCTGATGATGGTTTACAGCAAACCCAGAAGTCTTGTGGAGTTGCCATTTCTTATAGATGCTTGTTCATTTTTGTTATTGTTTTGTTTATTTTTATTATTGTTTTATTTTGCGTAAATAATTTTTTTTATATATGTGTGTGTGTGTGTGTGTGTGTGTGTGTGTGTGTGTGTATGCAAAATAAATATTTGGCCCAAATTATGGTTGGGCCAGAATAAAATTCTTTATACAGCTGAAAACTAACTGCATGAAACCCAGAAGATTTCCGCTGTGGTAAAAACAGCTTTGCAAGCCTGCATAGAACATTGACAGTAGTGTAGCCATCTGGGCGACTGATCAGCGACAGTAGCCAGAACAGATCCCTGGTGTAAGCAAGAAAAGAGAAATATGTTGATCAGAAAGCAGAGGGTACTTGGTTTCTGAGGTTTAAGCCTGCAATGGTATCTGTATTTGCATGGTTTGGGGAAAAAAAAAAAGCAGAGATTTCTTACACTTAGAAATCTGCTTGCAAAACAGCTCCTAAAACAGGAACTGGAAAGATCTGTTGTTTGGAATTAGTCTTTCTAAAGAGTTTGATGTTATTTGACCGACAGCAAGGGGAATATGTCCTGACACCCAAAAAGGGCCTTAGTACATTTTATTTCTGTGAACTACATTTTTACTGCTTTTTTTTTCCCCACTCATTTTGCAGTGTTCTGCACTCACTAGTTCTTAGTCTAAATCTGTGTATTCTTCTTGAGTATTTTAAGTTAGAGAAAGGTGCTGTCTGCGCTGATAATATTTTCTGTAATTTTGTAGGATATCTTGGCACAAGTTCTACAGATACTGTTGAAATCAAAATTGCTTGTAAGTACTCTTGCTTTTTTATGACATGCTTAACATTCAGCATTAAAATGTATTAATGAATATTTATTTACTTATTTATTTTATTTCTTGCAGGTTTTGGAAGATGAAAATGCCAATGTTGATGAGGTGGAGTTAAAACCAGATACCTTAATAAAACTGTATCTTGGTTATAAAAAGTAAGGGAAAACTTCAGCAGCATACATCACTTGTGTATCATGGGTAGCATCCTCCTTGTCTGCTTTCAAAATTTGGGTAAAACCTAACATACCTGGGATGAAAGCTCCAGGGTTCAAATGCCAATTCAAATACAGATCCAACATACTAGCTTTGAAGGAGAGAGTTGGCTAGTAAGGGGGGATAGGGAAGATTTTAGCTATCTGACTTTGACTTTGTCATAAAGTCTGTTAAGGCCTGAACGTATTTTTATATCTCCTTTTTGTTCCTTGATTCTTGTCTAATTCTTGTATAATTTATTTCTGGTAAGAAATTGTGCTGGTTTTTACCAGGGTGCATGACTTGCATGCACTCAGCAAAATACATTACATTTTATAAGGTTACAGTAGTGTACAGTGACTAGCAGAGGTCAAAGTCTTAAATGTTCATCCGCTAGAGAGAACATGAGAAGATCAGCAGGCTCATTTTAGAACTTCAGAGCATACAGTGATGTGAAAACTTAATAAACACCAATTTTCAGTAGTTTTTCTTATCTACTTTAACCAGTGTTGCTTTCAACGTTCATATGTTTTAAGCTGTTCATAGTACTGTGGTGACTTTTTATCATGCTTACCAGAGCATAGACATAAACACACATAAATTCAGTGAGGAGTTCAGTACTTCCTGAAGATAAGATCTCAGGTGAAAGAAACATTTAAAAACCTTTCCTTGTACCTCACTCTTTATCTGCTTTCTTCCCTCCTTGACCAATAATTAAAGGTTTGAGAATTCATGGTCAGTTACATTAATGCAGTGATGGAAACAGCTCAGTGTTGCTGCACTGCGCGGCTTGGTGGTTCCCAATTTATGACGCACAAGACTAAATAAATAACAGATCCCCTCTCCACCACAGCATTCCCCAGTGCTGCCCACAGGCTGAGCACTGCCCTGCGCTCCCTGGGGCCCTGCTGCCGAGGCTCCTTCCCCGCTTGTGACACAGCACCTTGTCTTGACAGCAGTCATGTGTGGTAGTGGGCTCGCCCTAGCACAATCCTGGGCACTTGGGAGCGTGTAAAAGGAAGGCAGAATTCAGTTCTACAAAACAAATGGATTTCTCCACATTATGGTCAGAATCCAATCTGTAAATCAAAATGGGGATTCTATTTTCACTGACTTTCTCTGTCCCATTCACTGACTGGAAGCTTCTTACTAAACGGAGATCTTTCAAATATAGTGTAATACATTGCGCTGATTTGACCTAACAGATCACTAGGTTGGATTCAGTAAGTCATGAAATACACGAACAACCACCAAAAAGGTATTTTGTTTTTTTGGTTGGTTGCAGTTTTTTGGTTTTTATTTACTTTTTTAAACTTGAACAAGATTGTCTAAAATTTTCAGAAGTGCCAAAGTCCCCTTTAGTTGTAACGTAATTGTGGTGGTGTAGCTGTCATTTTGGAGTTGGGTTTTGTTTGTTGTTTTTTTTTTTGTTTTGGGGTTTTTTTTCTTTGATTGATTGGTTTTTAAACAGGCTAATTGTTTTACTGACTTCTGTTTTTCTTCACAGCAAAAAATTAAGGGTAAACATCAATGTGCCAATGAAGACTGAACAGAAGCAGGAGCAAGAAACTACACACAAAAATATAGAGGAAGATAGGAAACTACTGATTCAGGTGACTTGTATTGCAGAATGCTGCCAGGCTATGAACTTAGAATTACAGCTTTGTGATCCTTCAAGGAAGCTTACTGTGGGGTTTTCTTAATTTTTATTAAAAGACAACATGCCATTGCAGTGCATTGTATTGGAGCTAAAAATGAATTTACAATACTCTTAAAGGCGATATGAGTCTGTAATAGAAAATGTAGAAAGGCATGATGGGACACTGTTCTTCACATTTGGTCTAACAACATGTTGGTGAGTGTTTGGGTTCCACGGATGCACACACTCATCAGACCTCTGTCCTGGGTAAAAACTAGTAATACCTAGGTAGTATGAACTTAACAGTGTTATTCTATCAGTTCATTTGGAATCCGCTTGAGAAGCAAAGGGGCAGGGGAAGGAAATACAAATGTACTGCTAAGAGAGCATCACAGTAAGGTTAAATATATAAAGAAGGCTTTCTGTTATATAAGTAGTTTCATGTTGCTTTTGGTACCAGTTGGTACTATTGTTATGACTGACCGTAAGCAGAGTAGTTCTTAAAATTCATGTGTCAAAACCACTTCTGATGACTGTATGCTATGTAGAACCTGAGTTCTTAAAGTCTGCGTGAGTAGTTGATGTTTGTGGGCATGCTCCTCCCCATCTGGTACTCAAATTTGCTGTGATGACGCTTCTGCGCTAGCAGACGCGATCTGCTAGGGAAGTAAAATGGCTTTATCCAGAAGGACAAGTAGTTTGCTCCTAAGCACACCTTTCTGACTTTGCTGTGCAGGCTGCTATTGTGAGAATCATGAAAATGAGGAAGGTTCTAAAACACCAGCAACTGCTTGGAGAAGTGCTAACACAGCTGTCCTCAAGGTTCAAGCCACGAGTTCCAGTAATTAAGGTAATGTGAGAACCACATCTCTGAACCTGTATTCCAGGAGGCGAGGAGGATATATAGACAAAATACATGCTTCTGAATTAAAAAGGGAAGCTAAGGAGATGGGTAAGGACAGATTTTTGGAGTTGTAAATAAGGAGGAAATATTTTAACCAGAAATACTGTATTTCTCTTACGGTAATATGCACGTTTTGTATTGTTGGCAGTGGTAAAATAGTAGCTTGATTGCATCTTTTCACGTCAGTGCCAGCTTACAGCAGCCTCTGCTCCAGGCTTACCTCTTTTTTCCTGCTTTCCCAGTTGTCAGAGTACCACTGGTTGTGGGCCGGCTCAACAGAACAGTTTCCTGATCTCTTCTAGAATAAAAATGTTGAGGAGGGGGGCATTGTATTTGTTTGTTGTCACCAGTTTGTTTAGTGGTCCCACCAATGGTTTTTACATCCACAGCCAAGGGGATAGGTGGGGCGAAAACAGGCAGTAGAGAGCAGTTGTGTGAACTGGCACCAATGCTGAAAGAGATGCACCCGGTCAAGTCTGAAACAGGTGGCTAGTTGCTGCAACTGCTATCTTTAGTAACATTACAGTAAGCACTCTGCATCTTGGCTTAACTTCTTATTTGCTGTCTTACTATGAAGTTGCTCAGCATACTGATGATCAGTTGATCTCCCAGTCACTACCCTGGAATGACATCAAGTAAGCGTAATTCAGTTTAGTGGATTAATGAAGTCCTCTGCTTGGATGCGGTCAGAAACGGGGGAGTAAATTGCCATGGTTTGTGCCCTTTGCCTACTCCCGTCCTCTGCTTGGCATGAAATTCAATGGCCAAAATTGTTCAAAGTTTGTAGCGACCACAGAGAGGGCTTTTCTGCCCAGAAGTGTCGCACCGCTTACGTTTGTTTCTCCCACAGAAATGCATCGACATTCTGATTGAGAAGGAGTACTTGGAACGCGTAGATGGTGAGAAGGACACCTACAGTTACTTGGCTTAACATTTTTATTAGCAATTACTTGACTGTGTGGCACTCGGCAAATAGGTATGTGATGGAAAGAATGAAAGCAACGGAACTTCATAGCAGCCACCCTGCTGCCATTTGGACCTCCCTTTTTAATAACTGAGACCAGGACTCCCATCAGCCAGTCTCAGATTTACATCAGAACTGCTCAGGATTGATACATTTCAAGTATGTAAATATGGACACCAATGCCATTTAACCTAATTTAAGAACAGAAGGGAATCAAACCCTCCTCCTTTAAGGGTTGCATGCTACTGCATTTAAATCAATACATTGGCTACATGATAAACAGCTGCCATCACAGGCAGCACTTACAAATGTTGGCAGCACTTTGAGAGCGAGTCTGAATGGACCCATGTGTAATCTGCTATGAAAAACCATTTGTATAGTGTGTTTCATTTTTTAATGTGTGATAAATAAAAAAAAATTAAAAGATTTCTGTACAAGTTGCATTTGGTTTTATTGTTTTAAGTTTCATGACTTATCTTTCTAAATGTAAATAAAAGGTATAATGGTTATGAAAGCTATAGAAATTCGTTTTGCTTTTCCTCCTTTTCCCTGTTTTCTGGTGATGTAAAGCACATTTTGTTCTCTGAAGAAATTAGTTGTCATCTATCATCAAATGTGCGTGTTATTTTTTTTTTTTAAGAGGAAATGTCTGCGCTTTGAAAAGAAAAGTAAGTTGTGATGATTTCACAAGACATGCAGAATAGAAAATACTTAGAATATATGTGGCAATGCTTGGTCATCTGAAATTGGAGCCATTTTTAATATTGTTCAGTATGCTATAAAATGCATCACACTTGCGTAAATGCTGCCCTGAATAAATAAGGTTTAGGCTGCCCATTTCTTTGACTAAACAGAAAATTGAGCGTGTACCTAAAGATTAATTCCCATTAAATGCAACCTGGGGTGGGAATTAAAATATTTTTGGGTGTTACTACACATATTGATTGACCAGGCTTCATTCTATTCCTCTCAGAGTGTTTTGTGTTCATTATGTACATGTGAAATGAGTATTAGCTTCCACATGCTACAAGCAAAATGCTGCCATCCTCACAGGCCTCAGTTTTGTTCATTTGTATTTTCTATTCTTGATGGTGAAAAGAACCTAACTTCTGCAGCCAAACCCTTTTTTCCCCTTAGAATTTGTGATTTGTTCAGTGTTTGTTCTGGCATGAAGAAAAGGGAGCCAGGTTTTGTGTTGATGCTGTTTTTCTCTGAGGGAAACTAATTTTTCATGGTTACAATTGGGCTTTGACCTACAAAAATCTCTGGGTGTTTGGTTTTTTTTCCTTAAAAAAAAAAAAAAAGACTCCTAGCTTTAATTATGGAGCAGTATTAGATGTGATCCAAACTGGTTTGAAAAATGGGGGAAAAGTCTCATCCCTACTTGAGATTTTTCATGCTTGCTATTCCTTTTCTGAAAGAACTTCAGTTGCACTAAAGACTGCCAGCATGGGTAATAGGAGCACCTTGCTGTTCAATTTTCAAATTGCTTTTTGAAATTTAGAAGAATGGAGCTTGTGATGCTTTCTGTGCTGGCTTTTTTTTTTTTAAGATGCTGTTTTGTGTTTTGGTTCTATAAACCCTTCCAGCAGAAAGTTTGGTGCTAGTAGATTTTTGTTACCAGGATGTAGGAGTGGTACAGTGACAGAGAAGCAGGCTGAATGATGATCACATGCGGAAGGCCAGAACTAACCTGCTCTGAGCTGCCTCTCAAAGCCTAGCCTTAAGCTATCGCTGGTTAAAGCAGCATTGCTTTGTATACTTTGTATGCTGTCTCTTGCAGAGCTCTATTTTTAAAACCCATCTGCTGTTGATCCATGCTTTACCTGAGCAGGGAGAAAATAAGTTTTGACTTTTGGACTCCTTTTTTCTTTCTGCTGAGTAAGATGAGGGGTATGAATTCTTAGTTCTTACTCAGGCCACCCCAGAACATAAGCTGGCATCTGGCAGCTAACTGCTGTACATAAGCGTGTGGAAGCCAGCAGCGCTGCTTTGGCTTTTCCTGAACAGGGCCAGTGAGTTGGAGCCTCCTCAGTGCAGAAGGTGCACAGTCATTGATAGCATTTCTGGAGATCAGTTTTGCAGTAGTGCATCCCTGTGCCTGCCCTCCCACCCCGGCTGTTTTGACTAGGGCATTGTGTTCTATCTAGCAGCAGGCTCTAGAGTTCACACTCACCTGGCAAATCAGAAATACAACATGTGGTAGCCCTGTACAAGACATGAACAGATAATCTAAACAATTTTGGATAAAAACATATATAAAAAATTTGTAGTAAGAGATAGTAACTGTTTCAATAAGCAAAATAGTGGTTGCTTACAGATAAACAAGAGATGCAGTGTAAATGGTCTTGGGCTGGTTGATGCAGAAGAGAAATGTATGTGCAATTACTGCTGCATTCATTATTCAGTTTGCTGCTTCAGAGAAGCTGCAGTTGAGGGTTCCAGTTGATCAGAGTACCACTGCTGGTTCCCTTATCAAATGATGCAAGTGTGTCCTCATCAGTGTTATTTCCACATTGAGTGAACAGAGTGAGGAGATTCATGGCACCTGCTTGGGCAGCTGGGTTGCCATTAAGCTAATAAGCAGATAGAAGCAAACCTTGTACCACAAATTTGTCTTGAAATTAGGGTTTGTCCCAGAAATCACAGCTGTTCTGTTTTTTTTTGCAGGGGGACCCTTTTCCCCTCCAGTTAAATGCATCTACTGCTAATGGAGAGCCCCCTTGTTAGGACTAAGGGCTTAGCAAAAGTAGAGAAAAACTTTAAAAAATTAAGTGCAGTTGATAGTGTGGTAAGAGGTGAGCTGTAGCAGCAACTGTAGGAGTTTCTAAACTGCAACCCTCTCTTTAGAGAATGTGGATGTAGCTTCAAGCCAAGGGTGGATGAAAACTGCAAGACCATGACTATTTTACACAGGTGCTCTATGCTGAAGTTACCACCATCAGCCTGACTGATGTCTCCTACACTGTTCATCTTCATATTAATCCTAAATGTGACCTGAAGTAACAGCAACAGAAGTAGACAAGTACGGAGTTGCCTTTTGCTCAGAAGTTAAAAATAAGTATTCACGTTGTTTCCTCAACTGGCTGACACAAAATTCCAACTCAGTTCCAGTAAAAATGAAGAAGTTCAAGTATCCTTTATTCAAGGTTGAAAAATGTACCACACCACATTATTGCAAAAGTTCATAGGTACAAAACACTTTGCAGCTGGTGAGAAGGCAATAAAAAGTTGTTTTTTTTTTTTTTTTAAATTTGTTACTATAAATTACTGTTACAGTACTTTGCAAATACAGAATTTCAAATTGCATCATTTTTACTTTTCTAAAATTGCCCACAGTACTAGAAATTCCTGAAGATAAGGCAGCTGTTTGTTTAAAAGAAGAGGTAGCTGGTGTCAAGGGATTTCCATTTCTCTTTCAATGCCCACATACTTAAGGGCATCAGCTTGGCTATATCTGAAATTAAAAAAATAAAAACAAAAATAAAACCCAGTAACACTGAACATTCCAGCTTTGTTGTTCTTACATAACAGCATAGCAACACAGCCTGGAATACTTTCATACTTGGATTTCCCCATAGTTTCTTCAGCAGGTGGGGCCTTTGTTCCTTGTGTGAATTTGCAGATGCAGAACAATGCTGACCACTCAAGAAACTGCTTTTAGAGGAGTTTGACCAAGAAGACAGAAAATGCTAAAATTCCACACTTTCACCTTGAATGTCACAATGCTAAAGTTCATTTTAGCTCGTGGAAAGCAACTGCATTTCTCAAAGTTGACTTACACAGTATCATCACTGGACAGCTTAGTTTTCTTAAATCATCTCACTTGAAGAGGAAAGTATGAACACAATCTTACAAGCACTTCTCTGTAATAACGTAAGAATACTTCTTGCCCATTTCTGAATTATGGGAGAGACAACCCATACTGCTATCTAGGGAACCCTACCAGATAAAGTTTAATATGCAGGTCTGTCCCTCTTTGCCACTGAACTTTTCTCTATACAAGTTTGTGTTCCAAGTCTGCAAGGTTCTTAACCAACTGCTTTGCTCAAGTCAGTCTTACTATGGTATCTGGCTTAAAAAAAAATGCAAGGGGACTGCTTCTCAGCTGCTGAGACCTGAGGTTGTAAGGAGGCAGGCACAGTAATTAATTATGAGCTGGGCAGAAATACTGAAAGCTAATCCAGCCTATGATTGGAAGAAATTACAAAATCCATCTACCAACCTGTAGTCAAAGAACAGTTCTTCACCAGTCTGAATGGCTCTTTTAGCAAATATTCCTATTCTGTGATCACCATTAACCATCATAACTGTTTAAAAGAAATTTAAACTTATGTTAACACAAATACTGATAAAATGTGTATTCTAAATAAGTATCCCACAATATTTCACACATTGCTAAAAGCAAGTAAATTTAAAACTTACCTTTTGCATAGCAGTTGGGATTTACTGAATGGTTTGCAAATCTAATTTTGTTGCCCTTGCGTGTTGCATCAACCACAAAATCTAGGGGGGGAAAAAAAAACCCAAATGATGGATAGATCACCTACAAACAATTTTTTGTGTTTAATAGCTAGTGTGCTTGGATTTTAGCAGCTGGAAAAGATAACTGCTCAGTTTCCTATATGGAAGAGCTAGCATATCATCCTACGATAGCTTTATTGTTCTGCAAGACTCAAAATATTCCACTGTGCATTCCATTTATCTCCTGACACAGTGGCACTACCTTAGTTTCTCATGTGAAGCTTCTCTACCTTTATTCCACAAGGACAAGCTCCACAAATATGCTAAGGCAGCTTTTTTTTTTTTCTCCTTTAAAATATTTTTTAGTATTTCACACTTGACACAGTACAGTCTCTATTTTTCTCTTCAAGTGGCAGTAGCCACATGTCTGTGTGTGGCTTTTTTCCCCCCCAACACAAAATTACCATCATAATTTTACTGTGACTTAAATTAGCAGTAAGTTATTTCAGACAATACTCAACAAGCCTTTTAAATTCTTTAGGCTACTTTACTAATGCTTGCATGTAATTTTACTCCTGAAAATTCTACTTCTATTCAACTCATTTTGTCTATTTGGCTTGTATAATAGACTCAATCCCTACTACCTAGTTGACTAGCATTTAGCGGAAAGAAAAAAACCACTAGCTATCAATACTAGGAATCTACGCATTGCTAGGAAAAGATGTGCAGAAGAAAAAATTTCTTAATGTTACCTGCTGCCTGCAAAAGAACAGGGCTGAACAACATGACGAGCATACATACTTTATTTATGCTGCAAGGGTTGTGACTAGTACATACATACCATTATTCAAGTTAAACAGAAAGCTGCACATGTATTTGTCGTATACTTTTCCTCTTCTGTCTGCCTCATCCTGAGAAATAATCTAAAAGAAACAGCAATTGTAAGAGACCACCTCTCCCCTTTTGAAACTGTAGCAGCTTAAGGTCAAAAACCCCAGACATTCTGAAAGAGAGGTGGGGTTTTTTATTCTCTGGGACTGAAAATATTCCCAAACATGAAGTACTGTTTTCAGCAAGCATTCTGCGCTTATCAAACAACCATGGTTTGCTCTTAGCATAAATAAGTTCTTTCAGAACAGAAGGAAAGCAAGAATTGCTTCTCATCTCAAAATCAAGACTGCATACCTGATTCAGGGTTTTCTCATTACTATAGAACATATTTTAGTGAAAGCATCTACTGAATTTTAGTACTATATTAAATGATTTTGCACAAAATTCCAGGCACATCTGAATTGAAATTACGTCTAAGATAAAAATGACACTCCAGCCTCTCATTCTCACAAGAACCTATGTCAAATTTTTTGTGACATTTCAACCATCTAGCTCCTGGGTTTGGAGCCTCTGACAGCAGTAGCTGTATACTTAGTCAATCACATCTCCCTGTCTAAACATGATACCAAGTTAGAGACAATCTCTTGGTCCCTAGCCAACACACAACTTCACCAATTAAGCTCATACATAAAAAGTGTTCTCCGTCCTTACCTCACCACAGTATTCAGAGATGAATTCATTCTTCTGTACAGGATCTTTGATGAAAATTCCCCAGCCTGCCACATCTGAAGGTGCCAACAGCAAGTGCTGTGGGAGAGAAAAACCAAAAAGTTTAGACATGCCTGGCTTGGATTTGCTTTTCGGTATTTTTGTTTGTTTGTTTGTTTTCTTGTTTTTTTGTGGGGTGGTTTTTTTTTTTTTGGTCGTTTTATTTTGTTTTTAATCGTATCACTTAATGAAACATACGCTGGGGCTCCAGGAGAGAGGACAAACACGGATTGTTCTAATTATCAAATGTACACCGAAGTTACAGCTTGTGGACCAGAAGTTGTATATGAAAGAAAAACCACATGAAGTACTTGAAAACCAATAAAAATTTTAGTTTAACCTTGAAATGAGGGTGTTACATAAAAAGCTATACAACTAAGGACTTCAAACTGGAAAGGTGTGCAGACAGGAGCCCATACTGGTTAGCTCAATATTCGACTGACCTAGTTTGTGGGAAGATGTTCCGGAGCAGAAATAAACTTTGGTTGGTTTATTTATTTATTTATCAGAGCTGAACAGGCTTTCGAGATATCTTTGGTAGACTGTATACAAGTTCGTGTATTAGAATCAACTGAAGAAAGAAATAGCCAGTATCTATATCTGAGCCAAACTTCCTTATACTGATCTAGGAAAAGACTGATGAGCTATCACTTTAAAACAGCAGCCTATTTGCACATTACAAGCAAAGCCTGAATGAGGAAAAGGAGATATTCTACTTCAGTGTTACACAGAAAACACTAACTAATTGGTACACAATGAAATGTACACAGAGCTTAACAGCAGCACATAACCAAGCTAACACAAGTGACAGCTACCTCCCGTTTTTTGTTTTTCTTTTCCTGTTTGACAGCATGAAGGCAAAGAAATTCCATTCTCTGGCATGAAAATACAAAAACGCCTCAAAACCAAGGCAATAGGCATGTAGTTGTGTAACTATCTACATACCTTTTTGGATCCTCTCTGAATGCTGCAGTTCTTGCAGGAAACATTTTTGCTGTCCCAGTGGTCGGCGGCTCCACATGTTAAACAGAGATCAGGATCACATTCGCGTACAGCTAGGTAACATGGACACTGCTTAGTGTTGCATTGTGCTTTACAACGACATCCAGGAAATCTGTTTTGGCCTACAAAGGAATATAAGGAAAACAAAACGGGCAAGTATGAAAAAAATACATTGTAAAATTAAGACAGTGCAGATTATAGCATATCAGAATATTAAAAAAAAAAAGCCATTGTATAGGCCATTGTATATACTTTTTATAGTATAGGACATTCGGGAGTACTGTAAATTCTTTCCTTCCCTCATTTTGCTTTAGTCTTCCTCAGTTTTAAGTCTGGAGACTGTTTCTGACTTCATTCAATGGCTAATTAAGAGGGCCAAATTAAACTGAACACATGCTCCCTTCTCACACCATTTGACACAACTTGCTGCTCCTGCAAACACCGTCTGCAGTACAGACTGCCTGCTAGTACAGTTAGATGTTGGGACAGTGAAAGAAATTTATAGATAGCTTTTAAATGTTTTACTTACATTCTGAGCTGCACTGACAAAACTTCTCACAGAAGTTTTGAGCAATTACACATGGGCATGAGCTATCACAAGGCTGACGTGGATGATCACATGGCTGATAGTTGTAAACATGATTCGATGAACCATCTGAATAAAAATAGCAACATTTTGTAAAGTTGAAAGGTGCAAACAAACAATATGCAATTCCTTTCACTCTTTAAAGTAGAAATTCCCTTTCAGTCATTTAACTAAGAAAACCCCAAAAATGAACAAAAAATCCCAAACCTATGATCAGTGGGGTTAAAAAACCAAAAGACACCAAACCAGAACTGTAACATTAGTTAGGTGTTTGTCACCATTAGTTGCCTGCTTCCTAGTGCACTTCATTCTTCCCATTATTCAGCTGCTTTGAGTATTCAGAGCTGAAAACTGTGTACCGTGGAAAACTGAAAAACGAAACTACAGTGGTATAATTTCCTATGTGAACATGTCAGAGTAACACTGGTATTATTCAGCAAAGTAAATTTGCTCAAATACCCAAAGTAATTTTTATTCTGGAGCAACAGTCAACTTTCAAACAGATACACTGGCAAAATAATACCTGGTCATTATACCACTGTGCTTTCCCAAGTCAATTTTCCAATTGACAACGCTAACATCTTACAGGCAAGGAGGGACTATCTGGGACAAGTCTAGAGCTTTACCTATAGAGCAGCTATGAGAATTTGGTGCTATGTAAATTATATTTGGTGTTAATACTCCTGAGCTTGTGTTGGGTTTGCATGTATTTGTAAAAATGCTCAAGTTAGCAATCAGCAACCAAAAAGGAGAGTCACAAACTGATCAATTATTTATGTTATTAGAAGCCCCAGCCACTCTCAATAAATTTTCAGGTAACTATTGCTAAAATAAGCTCTATTTAAAAAAACAAATGCCGCTTTTTACCGCAACTCCTATTGTTAATACCATTTTTATCGGTACTTCAATGAGGCCATACTGAAAAGACCGTAAATTCAGCCTCCTTCCCTTTTTATGGAATTATACAAAGCTCTTCCAGTTACATAAACCAAATTTGTCCCTACAATATCTGAAAGGACAGCTTACTTTTTATCTTTTTATTTCCCCTATAATCTCTAGCTCCCCATGGAATGTATATAATAGACTAACCATTAAAAAAAACCCCAAAACCCCCAAAAACAAAACCAAAAAAAGCAATAGTAGGATCTTAAAAGTTCAGGACATAAATTGAATGGAAAGATGCTAACCCTTTTTCAGCTGTATCTTTCTGCAATGAGCAGCCCACAACCTGCAAAAACACAAAACAAACACAAGAAGGTTGACAGGAACTCCTCCTGCAGTGGGCTGGGAAAGGTAGTTGCATCTTGCACCCACAAGACTTGAAACGGGAAAGTTTCTGGTAACATGAACATCTGCTGACTGCGCACAAGTCAGAAGCAGCTGCAGCAAAATCACTCTGTCCCAGTCTCTGGGAGCTGACAAGATCAACACTCTGCAGGCTGCTCCCTCCCCCTCCCTGCACCATTCCTCTAGTCCCAGGATTGTACCAATGAGCAGCCCCCAGCCAGCCCAGGCTAGAGAGATGCTTAAGTTCAGATGGCCCTTAAGTAAAACCTGCAAAGCAGAGGCTGCTGGAGCTGCTTCTAGCAAGCAGAAGCAGCAGCAGAAGGAAGGATATGGAATTGCAGATATGCAGGGACATGTCTAAATAGGGGAGTGAAGGTCTCTCAACTGTTTGCTTCACAGGACTTGGCCCCAGCACCACACTGGTAATCACCTACAGATCACAGCCAGTATTACCTGTCATCTGCTGAGCTCCAAATATACAACAACAGGAGATCACACCTATCTGGCACAGACATACTGATGCAACCTCAGTATTTCTTCTTGTTGGACAACAGACTTTTCCCCAGTTTTTTCTGACTGGTGGTACTGTGCTAAGCTGTTTCCCTTCTAGTTCAAACTCTATACGCCTTTCTCTTGTGTCCTTACAGTTTTCTTTCGGTGTCCTCTTTCTCAGTTAGCTTAGCTAAGCACTCCCTTTGCAAGAAGTGGTGGTTTTGTTGTGTGGTGTTTTATTAAAAAGTTTAGATTAAGGATTTTCAAAGTTTATGCTTCTTGCAGTTTCTTAGTATGTCATAGAGCAACATTAAAAGAATATGGAAGAAGCCTCATTCCATGGCCAAATAATACACTGCTAGCTGCACCTAGCAACTTCACTTTCTGTGCAGATTTACTTAGCAGTCCAAAATACTCGTGAACACATGTATGCAAAAATACCCTGCACAGAACACTTAGAAAGCTATTCTGCCTTTCAGTGAATGCAACACTCAGAAGTTTGCACTCTGAAAAAATATCTCTGTAACTACTGACATAGGACTTTTTAGCTGCTACTTCTTTCATACAAGCATGATATCAATTTCTACTTTAACCGAATGGTGTGCTGGCCCCCCCAACACACACAACAGCTTTAGGTAAACAAGATTCTCTATGCAATTGCCTTTTCAAAGCTTTAACATTAAACTTAATGTTAGGTGCTCGACAGCTAACTTTCTTACAAGCATTTGAAGGAACCCATACAAGTTAGAAACCCCCAGAGGCAGACTTGTCCAAGTATCTGAGGTTGAGGGGAGGGAACAAACCCAAAGACTATCAGCATTAGAGAGCACTGTAATAAACAGATGACATTCCTATTAAGAGTGACTCACTCTAGAAAAAAGGCTACCAACATATATTTATGAATTATGAGATGTTGACTCTTTGCAAGAAGACAGTTCCCATATAATTGAAAGAAAGAGTGCAATTTTGACTTAAATTACTCTAATGCACATCAAACTACTTTGCTTTTTTGTCTGGCTGGTATTTGGCAAATGTAACATATGCCGTATTTTTGAACAATTCTTTCACAGAAGCTTGTCTCAGCCCAAGATAATAAGGACCTACTAGAATACCAAACCCTTAAAAGCTTTCTGTGGATAGACTTCTTAAAACACCATTTCATTAGCAATTAGTATGAACCTTTTTGTTTTTTGTTTTTTGTTTTGTTTTTTTTTTTAAAAAAAAAAGGTAAGCACTATCCTAATACTTTAAAAGTAAAATGCCACTTGCTGACTAGTTGCCACCTGACACTTTTTGGTTTCTATGGGAAAGTATAGACTGTATGGACAATGTCACTTGAATATGACAGAGATTGCCACCATCAACAAAGCATTAATACTAACAACTCAAAATGGATAGAAAACTAAATATGGCAGTCACAATGGCAAAGGTGTCAGCTTAGCCACTCTTGTAACAGAGATTGGTGTCACAGGAGGAAGAGACCCTAGCAAGAAAGGAGCTGGAGACATAAAGTGTGAGCATGAATTGTGGGGAATGACAGAAGACAACATGAAGTAAGCTGCTAACACTGACCAATTCGACAGGAGGTTTAATTAGCACAATAGAATAGTACATTCATTGGCTTGTAACTTTCCAAAACTGTCAAGAAGCACTGCAAATTTCCCTGATTACTGTACAGCCTGAATGAGTACCGTACTAAAGGTGAACTAATTTATCTACGTGCCCTATAATCTGCTATCTCAACCAGAAACAAAAGGCAAGATCTGGTCCCATGCACCAGGAAAGCAAAGGCAAGGAAAAGACAGAAAGTTGAGAAAGCACTCGCGACTCGAAGCTTCATAAAAAAAAGCAAATTGGAAACTCAGTGGCAGATTTCCAAGCAAGCAGGTGGATTTGTACATCTGGTTGCTGACATCTGCAGGATAGCCAGCTTAGAAAACAAGTGTTTCCAGAAGCATGATGTCAAAAATACTGTTGTTCTCTGCTAACAACCTAACTAGATTTTGCCAGTGTTTTTAGGAGGCACTGGTATCAGTTAATCAGGCAGTAGAAACGCATTCTTTGGAAGAAGCTACACTAGCATTTCTTTCCCTGCACAGGGATACTCTGCTACCTGAAATACCACTGAAAATTCAAAATACGTGCCAATTATGTCAATATATGTAGTTAAGTCTTTGCAGTGTTTGATCTTCTGGCATCACTCAAAGAACTTCTTTTCAGTCTCCTAAATCGTATCTTATTCACGGCCTCCCTGCCACTCTAAGACTTAGGCCTTCCAACCAGGTGGCGTGTAAGAATATCTGTGCCAATGCCTCACCTGCACCCCTTTTGCTGATAACAGTGAGACTTTAAATCCCTATAAAAAGGCACCTTGAACTCTAGGCAGAACCACATAAGCTCTTCAAACATATCAGTGGACAGAGGGTAGGGACAGGAGGAGGAAAGTGAGAAAAAAGGAAAAAAGAAAATACTTTCAAATAAAGTTTACTAAGTAAACTCGCATCCTAATAGGGGATGAGGGAGGGGAGGAAAACAGAAATAATCAAGAAGCAGCATTACATGGCCCTACAATCAATAACAGATCCTTACCAATCCAGAGGAAGGAGTGTTGATTAGTTAAAGCAAATACAATTCAGCTTCCAGCAATGGAAGAAAACATACACATAAAAGAATGAACAGTGCTGAAGTACTCTCCCTCCAGCATACGCTCATGCTTTTCTGAATTCTTTCTTGGTTCAGATTTTTCTGTTGGCTTCTGTGCAGAGTACTCACTCCTCCAGCAAAGCAGAGTTTTCACAAACTGCCAGGTTAGTCTCTGATACATAGGACAGGCTCTGACACTTACTGGCTCTCCAAAAAACAACTATATAAAGTCTTCTCCTCTCATTGATCAGCCTTATTATGGCTATCTAACAAAAATGACATTGGAAGGAGGGACAGAATATCTTTTACTACCCAAGAGGGGTGTAGTCTTGCCAGCTAGTTGCTCAGTATGCCTATACAGGCACCAAGGTCGCATGAGAAACAAGCAAAATATTGTAAGAAAATCTACTATCTAAAGAGTTACAAGAGGCCATTAAAAGCAGCCTTCTGCTGCTGCTTTTCAGTGAATGCTGCTTTTGCTCGAAGGATATCTATCACACGTACACATGGAAAACCTGCAGACCACTAAGTCTTTTGCAATGGTAAAGTGCAAACAGGACAGAAGGGCCTTCCTGGCTCTAGGAGTGGATTTACTCTAGGAGTGAGTAAACTCAACTCAAAGAAACATAAGAAAAAAAGAAAGACTTCCAGATGGTTTTCCCAATTACTAGTTGTGCGACATCTTTAGAGAATGCTCAGATTACAGTAGTATGTAGGCGGCTAAAAGGTTTTCCTTTTTTAAAAGACTACTGCACATAGAAGAATGGAGACAGCTTGACTGACACATGTTCTGTGAAATCAGATAAAAAAAAAAACTTATCTCCTTCCTTTAATAAGAGTTAAAAGAATTAAAAGGCATTTCAAAACTAAATTGCTAGCACAAAAGTTTTTATATTGGCAACTAATAAGAACAAAATAACATCAAGAAACCCCACATAATGGTATGTGCTTTTATTTATTTGGAAAAAAAAACCCAATCCCAAAAAAGTCTCAAAACTCCTCCAAAACAACGTCAACCTGGTAACCATACAATCCATTGCAGCTTCAAAATACACTTGAGCCTTTTAGTTGCTCTTTTCAAATAGATGTAGTGGCACCATTTTTATAGCAATTTGTGTGAATCTGAAAGCAAGCTAATTCCCAACTGCATATTCCAAATGTGCACTGTGGCTAATAACTCCAGGTTTAAACAGCCAAGCCCATCAAATGCCCAAAAACTTGAAAACTGTGCCAAGAGCATTAAATCAATAGTTTTTGCTGAGAACAGAATCTCTTCCAGACGCTTACTGAATCTTTTCCGAGCTCACATTGGTTGCCTCTATGCTACAAAACAGAAACATTCTACTCCATGTCAACAGTATCTTTGAGCCAGTATTAGGAATTTCACTAAGCCTGGAAATAATAATTAGACAAGAAATATATTTAGACAAGCTAAGACAGAAGCAAGAAGAATCGATGGGAGAAGAACTGGAAGAACAAGCTTGGGGGAAAATAAGGAAAGTTAAGGGGAGAAACAGGAAACTTTATGGAAAAAAAAAGTGTACTTATTGCTTGCAGAAAGAAATGTTCTTGCTAATTTTCAGTCAGCTTTTTATCTCCTATGTTCTTAGGCCTGGGAATAAAAATAGTCAACGCAGAGGTGCATTTTTCAAACCTCAGGATTCTCAAAGAAAAATGCATTTCACTGACAGACAGTAGTCACTAAGTTTACAATTTCAACAGAAATTGTTTCAGATGGTCTTTGGGGCTCCAGCAAAAGGTTTTATTTTGTTATTCATTGCAGCTTCACTTTAAATAATAACTTGTTGACCTGGTTCTTTAGTTAAAGTTCTAGTTGATAATGAAACTGGGGTGCTATAAAGGAATAGTCTCTCAAAGAAAAAAAGGCAATCCTACTAGTTTGCTACAACATTTTTGCTTACTGATCATCTGAATCTTAATGGAATACAATTCACCATAAAAAACCCATGAGTTTTAATTTACAAAATACCATATAATCATTATTGAATCCCATTGTAACACTTGTAATATTTATTGCTGCAAACAAAATTATACCACGGTATCTTGAATGTTATAACAAGCTGTGTAGAGTATTTCTAATCTAAACTTAGTTTGACTCCATGCAGCAATATACCTACAAGAATCTGCTATCAAGAATCTGGCTGCTAAAAAAAAAAAGGGAGAGGGGAAGAGAAGTGGGAGGTTATACTTGCCAATGCGGTAAGACTTTTGTCCGAAACCAAAACACCATTTTGTTTTATTGTTGCAAATTTTGTTTTTTGGAAGCAAAAGGAGAACGAGTTGCATGACTTCCTCCAAAATACTTTCTGTTCCGATCCCCTGTATCTCCAATTTATTGTTATGCTAAGGTTATTTAGTAACAGATTTACCTGTGTTTCCTTTTCTTCTTTCTGGGAGGAGTATCAACATCTTCAGCAGGGACTGGAGCAATAATACTAGATTCCTTTACTCTAAACTCATACACCTAACAAGAGATACCATAATACATCCACGATAAATCTCTCGCTAGTGGAAAGTTGCTCATTTTCTAAGTTAGTATGATTTCCTCCAACCAACAACTTAGATTATATCCAGACATAGTCTCTTTTCAATACATTTAAAATCGATTATTTTTGTCATTTAAGAACAGATAGTCTAATTTAAACCTTCTGTAAATTTAATTTAAAGCAGTTTTAAAACTAACTTTTATATATTTGTGGCATGAATTCTAGATCATAGCATTCTTGGGAAAACCAAGAAAATTAATTTTCTCTTTTAGTAATCAATACTGGTATTTCTATACTTCAGTTTTAAAAGTAAAATGCTATCATCCTTAGTAAGTAGCTTCCCTTCTTACCTGCCTGCACGTTTTGGTCCCAATCAGTCTGGCAATTGCACAGAAGTTGTCATAGTAGGTGCCAATAAGAACTCTAAACATTGAGGCTTCTGCACCACTCCATTCCACATTCTCTGGAGGCTCAATATTTGGCTTCATCTTTATCGGCGTTTGACACCTAGAATTTGCTTCTATAATAAATAATTGAGAGTATGGGTCAATGTAAAGCTATGTTTCAAAAATTTTACACAGCGCTTAAAAATGTCAAATTATTAACTGTAGTTAAAAATATCCCAGGGTTTTGTTGTTGTTTCCTAAACTAAGTGCCACAACAAAACAGCACTTTTCACATACCTCTTAAAGAAGTTAAAAATTAGGTAACAGTAGCTATTGAAATTACGCGCTCTCACCTCTATATATAAATCGAGACAATCTGGAAATTTTCTTACAGGGTTCTATTTGATTAAACTCATATTATTACTCTATCTTTTCACTCAGTTCCGTACATTCCAAATACGTGGTTTCTAGGATTGCGTGACTCAATTTGTTTTGTTGGGGTTTTTTTTTGTGTGTGTGTGTTTGGGGTTTTTTTTTGTTTCTTTTTTTTTTTTTTTTTTAAACTCTCTGAAGCACTGCAGCTAATTGAATAAAGCAGCATTGACTAGACTTACCAGAGGAACTGGATGTTTCATCTTTCTTTTCTTCTTCTTCTTTATCATTGTTTTCTCCTCCAGTTTCAGTTCCAGCTTCTCTATCACTATCTGTGTCTTTTGACTCCAATACATTTATTGTCGGCGTGCTGGGTCTGCTGGTGTTGTTTGGAAGTCTTCCCCTTCGGCGGCCACCTGGGCGCTTTGGTGGTGTCTTTATACGCTCAGCGGTCAAGGCAGCTGCAAACTCCTTTGCACCTTCCTAAACACAAAACATTACAATTTTCAGTAAAAGAATTAACAAGTGTTTTCACCTGTGGTCAGGGATTGGGGGAGAACACATTCTACCTGCGTACTGTGTAACTCTGCATTTTCTACAAATCAATCACGTATACACAAATTCCAGTTACGTGTACTCTAACCATGAACATAAATAGTTTCGATGCTATCATGAAAAAAAAAAAAACCCTACATTTACAAAGTACTTATTTCAGTATTTCAGTCCCACTTTCATTTTGGCTGCCAAGTGAAAAATAATTCAGTAGTAAATTTCTATTTTCCTAGATGACAGAAAAAAATGAGAATTTCCCACAGAGAATATCCTTCAAAATACAAGAACTCTTCTTGCACGTGGCACTTAAACAATATGTGTTCTGCATTTTTTTAAATGCAATCACTGGTAATTTGTTTTCTAGTGGAAAGGGGTATGACAATGCGTAGCAAGTTTTTTGATTGGAAAATTACATGGTTTCTCATACTAAAAAATTTAGGGGAAGTATGAGAGAGATTTGAATTGAATGAATTACTAAGGATTTCCCCTTATTAATTTCCATCCTGTTGTTTCTTAAGAGCACAAATGCTGGATGGAATCCGCCTTTGGCAAACTAAAAAACCTTTATAATTTTTAGTTGTGATACAACTTATGAGAGAGGTAAGTCTGTAAGACCCATTTTTTTGACTAGATTGGACACAATAACAGCAACACATTATTAGGAGGTAATAATCTTTTTTCACAGGCTACATCTAATAGAGCTAAAAATTATTCCCACTTAGACTTTCATTTGATGATTGGAAGTTAACTCATTTCTTTTGCACAAACTGAAGATAACATACTTGACTGCAAGTGGCCCACAAGCACATGCACTATCCAGCACGTCCTTACACTAAGTGTAGCTTGCTATACTGCAGCTAGCACTAACGGTTAGTGAATTCTAACACATGAAATTATCTTACCAGATGTTGATAACAGTGCGGTCCACAAGGCTTATTATCTAATGCTGTTTCTGTATTCTTTCGTTTATAAGTATTGGGAGTTGCGTGGAATGCTGTTGAATCAAGACATCACGTTTGTAAGTTTTAATATAAAAAATACATTAAATATCTAACCTCAGACAGTATCCAAAACACAAGGTTTACCCAGACTTTACTAATACCAGAATAAAAATTATAACAAATAGAAAAAAAACACAAAATAAACCCCATCTAGTGACATTTGACTTACCACTTAAATACACAGAGACAGCACATGGGTAAGTTTCACATATGCCCGTTTACATCAGTGGAAACGATCGTCACATTTGTTTCAGGTATCAAGGAAGACTTGCTATATCTCCCTTCCCAACAAACAGAACAGACTTTGCTTCCGTTACCATGTTAAACAGAATTATTCAGGGCTTCTCCTATTAATGCATCATCATCTCTCAATCCGTAAGATTCAGGTGTTCAATTCCTATCTTGTCAAAAAATCCAACCCCACACACTTCGGAAAGGTAATGGACCCACTTTTCATTTTTGTTAGTGAGAAGGACACAAACATTTTTACTCTACTAGTTTATTAGCACTCCAACTAAACTGACAGGTGATAAGAGTTCAGTTCCTATATCCCAGCTGCAGGGTAAAAACAAGTTAGCATCACACAGGCGCTATGGATCAGAACAACCACAGTTAAGTCTGCAACTTGCAGAGAAGTATCTGCTCATGTATCTGACGGACTCTGTATAGTTCTGTATAAGTTGCAGAACAGTGACTCAGAATGAAGCAGAACTGGGTACGTTACAGATGCAACATGAGCACCTTTATAAGAGCATGGCAGAGTTTCCTACCCTTCGTTTTGCCAGAGCTCATCTCTACCAGCTCTCCCCTCGTGCAATCCCTGCCTCCCAGCAGGATGTTTTCAGAGAGACTGACTTTCCTGGTTTTGCTGGAAGTCTTGGAAACTCTTCCATGTCCATTACTTAACTGAAGCCTGGAAAACCTGCAGCTAGACTCTTACCAGAACTCATATACTCCTATTCCCAAATTATATTAGGAGCTTTTTGAAATACCATCCTTAATTTTCTGCAATTCTCTTTTTTTAAAAAATTCCTCCATGCTCAAGGGATGAATTTTTGGGTTTTAGACAGATAGATAGATATCAGTAAATACTTCCCCCCCTCCCCCCAAATGTGCTAACAGTGGCATACACAACCACAAGGAAGAGAAATGGAGAATGCACTCAAAGTTTAAAAAAAAAGGCTACTCAGTGCTAGCTGTCTGCTTTCTAATGCTCCGTGAAGGCCTAGAAAAGACACCCGTCTGAAAATACATAATTCCCAAGCACTGTAAAAGCACTTATGCTGGAGTTTTACCACAGTTGCAGTTAGGCAACTGTAACTTACAGTTAAGTTTTTCAACACTCAGTGAATAAAAAGTGCTAATGTTCAAACTGAAAGAAGAAATCCCTCCGCTCTTACCCATGTTAATCCATAAGAAGGGCCATTCTGTATCAACACCACACACATCCTTCTCCTTCAATAAGCCACCACCATAGGCTTTCCTACTCATCTTATTTCTAGATTGTACACGAAGCTTCTCTTTATAATAGTCCACTATGCTTTCAAGACTGAACTTTTTAAATGAAGTTCCTTCCCTTTTAAAGAATGTGGGCAGAGCTCACATATGTGTCTTCACAGACAAAGTTTTTAAAAGCAAATCTCATTTCAGTCATCTGGTTTGCAGCGTAGCTCCACAAGCACTTGTTTTGGCACCAGCGGGTAGGGTGACCAGTGGTGGTGAGCACTTCTTAAGGGAGCTTCTCTGATGAAACCACTCCGTCTTGGAACCATCACTTCATGCTCCCCTCCCATAAGGGAAGGTGTGCTGGAAATCAAATCATAAATTCTATAATGTTATGCCTGTATTAATGACAGCAGCACATGGGAACCTCAGGGAAGCAATGTATTCTTCCAAGGCTTTCTTAAAAAGGTATAAACAATATAAAAGTATCACTAATTAAATATTGCATCACTTTCTCCAGAGAAATATATTACATTTTATAAATCTGAAAACAAAAAAGTTTCAGTTTTCCATATATGGACATACAGATATGTAAAAATTATTTACAAGCAAGTATAGGAATGTAATTTATGCATATTGTTGCTATTAGCACTCTTTCTTCCCCCACATTCCAATTAAAAGCTTTTATGTGGTATGTCACTTCTCATATATTTCACATATCTCTGAAGTGTTCATGAATTCTGTAGGTAAAATATGTTAAACAACAAAGAAACTTTGCAGTTTGATGCCAAGTTGTTCCACCTTTTTCCAGCTTTTAAGAAACAATGAGATGATGGGAGCCCCCCCCCCCAAAAAAAGAGTGGAGGGAAAAACCCCCACATTTTTCAACACTGCACCTTTAAATTTGCACAGTATACCATTTCATTCATTCAGGTTTTGTTGGGGTTTTTTTCCCACATAACTGTTTTACCCTCTCTTCATTCCACAAGGAAAATAATTTTGCAACAATGCAAAAGAACAGTAAAACATTTGCAAGCCATGATCCATATCAGACTGCTGTAATGTGCAGAAATCAGAACTATTCTTTTTACATGTCACTTGCAGATGCAAACATTTCTCTCACAAGTTCATTTGTGCACGGTCCTAAAATGAGTGTTTATTTTTTAAAAAAATTGTTTTCCTTTAGACAATGAAGAAATGTTTAGTTTGTAATGCAGTGAAACAAATCAATGTTTGACTTTTTAGACCAGCAAGACCTCAAAAATACACTATATCTGATACTTAATATTAGAATCATATCTTGTATTCCACTATTTCAAAAACACCCAACACAGTATACTACTGACAACTGTAGTCAGAATCTACCACCGCTGTTGTGAGGTATCTTTTGGGGAAGGAAGGACCCAGGACAAGAACAAAACTGTATGTATAGCTGTGTTATGAATCTTGCAAATATCAGTAGTAATTTTTTTTTCAAAATCGAAGAAGACTTTGCAGAATTTCCTAAATAACTAAACTCCGTACTTCTTCAATAATTTCCTTAGAAAAGTCATTCTAAAACTGCTTCACTGAGCATGTCTTTGAGATTTATTACCTGTCTCATCCCCAATGGGCTCAATTCTCATATTTTTCATAATGTGAAAGCACACAGGCAACAATTTAGCCTGAAATGTACCTTTGCTTCACAGTCAAGCTATTTGGGAAATTCTCCCTACCTGATATTTTTCCTTCTTCTAAATTCTTTGTTAGTCCAGACATTTAGGCATAATTCCTTGCTGTCAGCAAATGAAGTCGGTACACAAGTTTTTTCAGTAATGTCATCACCTGCACATAAAGGGATTGCCAGGTCGTCAAGGGGACTTGACATGTTAAAAATCTAATGATAACTTTTCCAATATTTAACTCAAATGTTCTAGAATAAAGATCTGAAACTACATAAAATAAGGCTAATCTTAACACAAATGGAATCTAAGAGGGGGAATTACAAAAATCAAAACCAGACCTAATAGAATTTCTTTAATTCTCTATGCCTCCTCCAGAGATTCGTGCCTTCCAAAGTACAAATCTGATCACTGTAGCCCACCACATTACCAAAGTAATTCATCAAAAATGTCATCTGCAGAAGCCAGGACATCACCCTGTTGTGCTTGGCAATTGCATGAAGTAGAACATGGGGGCAACTGATAAGGGTGCTAGTAGAAATGTTATCAACTTTTTAAAAATTGAATTGTTAAATTTTGTTGCAGAGACACTGAAAATTGCTAGTGCAGCCTTCCAATAATCAGAGTAGTCTTTTTTTTGATGAGTTACTTATTCCCAGCAATGAATCTGGTGGATTTTGACCAATGGTGTTAAAACTTCACAGAAAGTGGTCATACAAGTGATTCTCAGTTTTTAACAGATAAATTCCTAGCTCTAGACAGACACAGACAGAGAGACACACAGACAGACAGAAAACAATCCTCTTTCTTTGGTGTTACTACAGACAAAAGCAGAAGGAAGCAATGCATCCAAAGCAGTGACCAGTCATTGTAGAGGTGGGATTTGGGTATGTCTTCAGGGAATGGTGACTGAAGCATCAGTTTACTACATTCAGTGTCCAGCCTGGAAGCTACAGAGTGAATGTGTAAATCAAGCTTTAAGAGATCTCTTTGCAATGATCAAGTATCAAATATATTTTTATCAGTGACAATGCATAAGCTGTCATGAAGAGCATTATCATAACAGGTAATTTCACACTCCATCTTGACACAAAGGTGCATCCTGAATGTCTCCACAGTGGAAGTGTTATTCTTCCTTCTTTCTGCTATGGCCCTGAAAACCTGAAGAGATGACTTAAAGTTTGGGCCTTTTAAGTACGAGGCATGGTTTAAAATGAAGCCTTGGACATACACCACTTTGGAAAGAATACTGACTTGTTTAAGGGACTTATCAAAAAATCGCCAGCAACAAGAACTTAGGCAATCTTTTAGCATAAACACTTTGTTTTCCATCTGAAGGTTATGCACACAGAGAAAGGGGGCACAACGCTTTTGGCTTAAAGGATGCCGCTAATGTGAGAACTGAGGTCCTATAGCCGATCAGTGACATGACTCTGGACTTTGTCATTGGCTGAATTTGGCACTTAAGAACATGTCAAAATGCACAACACTATGAACATGTCCTTCACAGCACTAAAAGAAAAGAAGTCTCTCGGAGTTGGTGCCTCAAAACTGTGGACTGGTAATACCAGGCTGCCCAGAGTGGTACCTACCAAAATGTGATCTGTGGATCCTTTCAGTTCTGCTTCTAACAATCTGCAAAAATGACTGTGAAAGGCAAATCTATATAAACTATATAAGTAATCAAATACATGTGTATTTTAAAGGAGCCCATATCTTCACTGGAAAACTCCTACAAGTTTATAAAAGTAGTGAGAAAAATGGCCTAAAACCACTGTTGTAGAAGTACCTAAAATCTTCTGGGGTGCTACTGGAAAAAGTTTTTTCTCACTATGTCTGGACAATGCTTTTTTGTTGACTTAAAAGTAAAACTAGACTGGCACTGAATCTCCCTGCTAGACTATTGAGAGTGTCAAGAACTCGTAAAATCACTGCCAGACAAATGGATTTGCCAAGAGGTAGCATACAGCTTCACTTCCCTGTCCTACAGACTAAGGCTGCACCCAGCACTGCTTGGAATGAGTCATCCAGGCAACTAAGATACTTCTAAACAAAACCCGGAGCTTCACAGAACACGCTGTGTTGAAGCTGGCTGGACAAGGCAGCAGCTATACCTCCAGAAACTTAACTGTTCTTAAACATTATTCAGAAGTAAAAGCTTCTTTCTTTGTATTTTCAAGCAAGGCCTGCCAACAGAATGCAAGGAGAAAGTGAAACTAACAGACCTAACTCCAAAAGCCACAACGCTAAAGAAACTAGGAACAGGAAAAGCTTCCCCCCCGCTGCCATCTGAGAACAACTCCAGTTCCTCCTCAAACTGAAAGGCAAGTAAAGGGATACTAAAAAGCAGCAGCACTGTGTAAAGCCTTCACTGTGAAGTACAAATACAGGCAGATTGCATGGGTGCTGGATGAGGAGCTGCTGACAAAGCACAGAGATTTCCAAATGAACATGCATGCACACTCACAGTGGAACATGCAAATGAACAGTTAAGTCAAAAGACAAAATTAATTTGAAATAGAGGGCATCACAGTATTCAACTACAAGTCGAAACCTCTTCATATGTGACTGTTAGGTTCCCCTTTACATTTGACTCGTTCTCAGAGAAAGAATTGTCTCAAGTAGCACTTCAGAATCTCTCTTATTCTTCACACTTTGCAAATGGAAACTAACATCATTGCTAATGCTCTTGTTAAATCCTTCCCCCAAAAGAATGGGGCAACATGAAAGCAATTCAATGGAAAGGATATCACAATTTCTAAAACTCAACTGTCTGAAACAATTCTTCTTCAAATCACCAGGTACAAGTAAAGTGGCTAAAAAGCAACTTGAGAGAATAAAACTGTTCATGGATATTCATTCTCCCTGCTGGAAAATGAAGCAAGTCTGATGAATAACTAGGTATTTTTATGGAGAAATATATTCCATTCTCCATGCACAAACTGAGAAAGTGTAACACAGAAACAGTAGTAGAAAACAATGTAGTTTTCTTGAACACTACAAAAAGTAACATTACAGGTTGGTCCAAGCCAGGAATTCTATATGAACTCCTAAATGCAAAAAGGATGACAAACTACCCCAAACAGGTGCATTCATTTTTTTGAGGCATAGTTTTCACTGCGAAATGATGTCAACATGGACAAGTTGTTTTCGTAAACTTTAGCGGTATTACTGCTTTTGTTTTTTCTTCTCTTTCCTTCCTTCTGTATTGCATCTTATGGTATTTTTAAGTTTCCTGACTTGCAAAAAAATAAGAGATATACAAGTGCACTATAATTGTACTTACGATGTAAGAAGCAATCATATTTAAAACAGCGCCTACAGAAGAGTGTGTGAAAAGAGTGCAGGCTTTGCTCCCTCTGAACAGATTTAGCATTTGGTCCATCTATGTTTGGTGTGCATTCAGGAGGAAGAGCTCCTGGAAGCTGCTGCTCAGTGAGTTCTTTGTATCTTAAAAGAAAGAAATAGAAGTTATTTATGCAGTGTAAGAAAAAGAAAACCAGTAATTTTTGATTGCAGTACCACTCTGTCTTTCAGTGACAAATTAAAAAAACGTTAAGAAATATGTGCCAGCTAGAGAGGTCAATCTGTCAGTGACATGACAAGTTATTAATTCCATACTCATTAATACAAATATAAAATTGGCTAGGAAAGAATGCATTTATTTTCTGGACCGTCATCTCCTCCTATATTACTCACTATTACTCACTAACTCCAAAAAGAAGACTTTTTTTTTTTTTTAACAGAAGCTTTTATTTTACCATCTCAAAAAGTAACATAGATTATTAAACACATGCAAGCACCCACTTTTCAATAGTTTGAAAGGAAGGCTAACAAACACCTCTGTATTGTTTGACTCGGTGGGAACAGCCAATTCCCTTCAAGTATCACTTGCAGAAATTACACAGTTGCCAGAGAACTTAGCTGCAAGGGGGACCATTCCTAATCAACAAATATTTAACAAAATCAAGGAATCGTTGTTTCATAATGCAACACAGCAATATAACCTAAGAAATACTTTCTTACTTCTCTTTCAATTCTTCTGCTGTACCCTTGTCTGGAAACATTGAGGAAATGGCTTCAAATATCTTGTCAGAAGGAAATCTCCGAGGTGGGTGGCTTGCTTTCTCTGTCAAAGAAGTAAAAAATTTGGAAAACAAAAAAATTATATTTCTGCTCCTTTGCTACTTCAAGGAGGTGTTCAGAGAAAGGGGGACTTCGCCAAAATCCTAATAAAAAAAAGAAGCAAAGGTTTTTATTTCTAAATTACAGACAACTTAAACTGCATTAAGTGATCTTTCCTGCTG